TTCATCGAAATCAAAAACTGATGCACTATTCTAATCTTAGTGTAGTCTACTTGTGTGCCAAGTTATATTGAAATCAGACCAAAACTGTAGAAGGAGTAGCGTTTTTAAGGAATTTCACAGAAAATTCTATTTTTAGTAACCATGGCAACACCGTTCATCGAAATCAAAAACTGATGCACTATTCTATTAGTTTCTACTTGTGTGCCAAGTTATATTGAAAACAGACCAAAACTGTAGAAGGAGTAGTGTTTTTAAGGAATTTCATATCGAAATCAAAAACCGATGCACTATTCTAATCTTAATGTAGTCTACTTGTGTGCCAAGTAATATTGAAATCAGACTAAAAATGTAGGAGGAGTAGCGTTTTGAAAAATTGTTTACAGACAGACGGACAGACAGACGGACAGACAGACAGACAGACAGACAGACGGACGGACGCCGGACGCATTACTATCACATAAGCTCTTCTGGTCTCTGACCAGTAGAGCTAAAAATGGCCCTGTATTACATGTAAACCCTTATTTGATCATCTGTCACAGTAGTTTTTAGCTCTACTGGTCAGAGACCAGAAGAGCTTATGCGATAGTAATGCGTCCGGCGTCCGTCCGTCTGTCTGTCTGTCTGTCTGTCCGTCTGTCTGTAAACAATTTTTCAAAATGCTACTCCTCCTACAGTTTTGGTAATTTCAATATAACTTTTACACTAAGATACATAATTCTGTGTATGATTTTGAATAAAAATAGAAATTTCTGTGAAATTCTTTCAAAATGCTACTCCTCCTACAGTTTTTCTGATTTCAGTATAACTTAGCACAAGACTACACTAAGATACATAATTCTGTATATCGGTTTTTGATTTCGAGAATGGTGTTGCCGTGGTTACTAAAAATAGAAATTTCTGTGAAATTCTTTCAAAATGCTACTCCTCCTACAATTTTGGTTTGATTTCAGTATAACTTGGCACACAAGTAGACTACACTAAGATACATAATTCTGTGTATCGGTTTTTGATTTCGATGAACGGTGTTGCCGTGGTTACTAAAAATAGAAATTTCTGTGAAATTGTTTCAAAATGCTACTCCTCCTACAGTTTTGATCTGATTTCAGTATAAGTTGGCAAACAGGTAGAATACACTAAGATACATAATTCTGTGTATCGGTGTTGCCGTGGTTACTAAAAATAGAAATTTCTGTGAAATTCTTTCAAAATGCTAGTCTGATTTCAGTATAACTTTGACTACACTAAGATACATAATTCTAAAAAGTTGCCGTGGTTACTAAAAATAGAAATGTCTGTAAAATTGTTTCAAAATGCTACTCCTCAAACAGTTTTGGTCTGATTTCAATATAACTTGGCACACAAGTAGACTACACTGATACATAATTCTGTGTATCGAATTTTAATTTTGATGAACGGTGTTGCCGTGGTTACTAAAAATAGAAATGTCTATAAAATTGTTTCAAAATGCTACTCCTCCTACAGTTTTGGTCTGATTTCAGTATAACTTGGCACACAAGTAGACTACACTAAGAACATAAAGAGACTTTATCAACGATCATTATTCTATTTAATGCTGTTTATAAAGTTTCAAATCCCAGCTGCTTCAGTACTCTCTCTTCCTTTGCTGTAAGTTCAAACCAGTAGAGCTTCAGTCTCGACAGAGACTTCTGGTTAACATACAAATTACTATCTGTAGTATACATTATTGTTTTGTTTCAAGCTTATTGCAAAATTGGTGAACAGTGCATTGCTGACGGAGAAAGAAATGCGAGTAATGGATGTTTATATTGCAACACAACGCTTGAACACAAAATGTGGTCACTTTCCGAAGGTATGATTTACCTAGGGTAAAATAAGAAGCATGTTTTTTGTTAATGGCTCCCCTGAGCTGAAAGCTCACGTGTGCTTTTCTGATCACCTAACGTCTGTCTTTCTGTAAAAATCTCACATTTTCAACTTCTCGAGAATCACTAGGACGATTTTAACCAAGATTGATACGAGGCTTTTTTAGATGAAATAAAAATTGTTAAAAAGAAGAGCATTGTATTCTCTAAAGGGGAGATAATCAAGAAAAAATAAAAATAGGGTTGAGTCATTAAAAAGTCTTCTCAAGAAAAACTTGGCATAAAAAGACTGTTACCTATAATGAGTATTCTGAGAGTAGTGTAGATTCTAATTTTTTCATATTTAAATGCTGATCGGGGGTGGGGTGTCGGCATGGGGAACCCAATTTTAACTTTTAAATACGTTGAACAATTTCAAAAATTTTCTCAGGAAGCATAGGCAAGAAAGTCTAACATTTATTTGTAAATATCCTGGAGGAAGTTAACGTTCTACGGACTGTATTTTTTTTTTCATTTTTATGTTTACAAACTAGCGCTTAAGATTGAGCACATTGTGTTGAAAATTGTAAAAAAAACTTTGAGAAAAACAAATCAAGCTTTTAAGGAAAGGCAATCCACTCCGTGAAAAGCATGTCTTCAAATTTTGTTGGGGGATCTTTGTTCCTCCTTCACAAGCTCCATAATTACCAACTTACCATTTTTCAGGGGGAGGGGGGGGGGGGGGGCAAGCAATTTTTTACAATTCTTTTTAAAAATTCCAGGATATTTCTTCAGTAACTGTATTAGTGTTCTTCTTAAAAACAAATTACACACACCTTACCCATGTGATGTTACTAACAATTCAGAGATATACATATGGTCAAAGAACAATACATTTTACAAAATAATGTATCAAAGTAATCAAGTGTATATGCACTCTTTTTGTTTACTTATCCCTTGTCTTTCACCATTTACAAAGATTTCTTAAAAATATTAAAACGCCAAAATGTATTTCTTTGGGATCATTCTGTAGTGATCTATGCAAAAAAAAAAAAAAAAAAAAAAAAAAAAAAAAACCACAAAAGATTTTATTAAGTGTGATGCACAAAAAGCCATACACAGTTTTGATGGCATGGCACTGTAAAGAAAAAAGTAAAAATTAATAAATAGACCCAATATATTAATACATATTTACATAGTTACATGTATGTTGAATAAGGCTGTCTTTTTCAAAATAGTGAATTTCATGGCCCTTGGGTTGGGGGTTCTGGTGTCTTTGGGTGAGGCTCTATTGATTATACTCGATTCTCATCATATTGCGGTTTTCATTGTATATTGCAAAATGTGGGTACATAGCCTATATTCATTTTATTGATGGACAATCTGTATGTTGTCTGAATATTTAGTTTTTTAATGATTAAGAAGTATCGAACATCCGTTTGAAAAAAAAATTCAAATAAAACGAAATTTTGAAGATTTCCAGTCCCGTTCTTATTATAATAAGAGCAATTAAATTTACAACCTTATAAGAATATAAAAAGTCTTTAGTTCGTACAATTGTTTATTTTTCATGAAGAATTACATCGTAAATTTTAAAAATAAAAATTGAGGTCCAATTCATCTACAAGGTTACATGTTTTCCCAAACCGCGTTACAATTAATGAGACTCTCCGATTGAGGAGGGAAATAAGACTTCCTCTTTTAAAAAAAGACTACAAATTACACGATGCAAGCTTGGAAAGTAATTTGACACTAAAAAGTTTGGCCATAGTTAGAATTACGAAGATTATTTGATACAAGTTAAATTAAAGATTTTGAATTACACTTTTAATGCAAAAGAATTAAGTACCACGATATAATGAGACACCAGTATACATAGTGAAAATGCATAATTTCTTTAAAAATCTTCTTTTCTGCATGAGGGTATTAAACCAATGAACTACGTACATAGTTATGAGGAGGAAGGATGCCTCTTTGAGATTTGTGAATTTCAGGGCCCCAGGGTCAGGGCTTCTTGTGTTCGGGTAGGGCCCTAATGTTTATATATTGAATATGCATGACGCCAAATTCTTTGAAAATCTTTGACTTTGCTCCTGGATATTATGCCAATGATCTTTATACATATATTTTTACGAAGAAAACTGTTTTCCGAAGATGGTAAGTTCTCAGGTCCCTGGAACAGAGGCTCCGGGCGGGGAGTTACATATTCTAAAATTTATTAAATGTTTTGAAATGTGCACTTTGGTATTAATCAACAAAATGAAATAAAATTTCCAAAATTTTGAAAGATGTGATCCAAGGGTCAGTGGTTCCTGTGGGATTTGGTGCACAATTGATAAAGTGGAAATGCATTTTCTCTTTGTTACTGTGATCTACCGCTGGGTAATTAGTGATCAAAGTAAGCATGCTAAGTGTTCTTTTATGATAACCAATGGTGCCTCTTTCAAAATTGTGAATTTCATGGCCTCTGAATTATTAAACATGAATCAAATTCAATTGTTGGAAAGTTGTTACATGATACTCAGGTGACCTTTAAGGCCAATGAGCCTCTTGTTCTTTGTGTAGTGTGATTTAGAATACTTAAGATTTCTTATTCCTTATATTAGAATGCCTGAGCCCTGATACGACATCTACAATTACTATGGAACCGAAAACCACCACTGAAATCCTTCAGAGTACCACGGGACAACTAACACCAAACGAATCGTACGCAACAATCAAATCTGACACACAGACAACATTACAAACAAGTAGAGCTGAAGACAACACGAGTACAGCTATTAGATTCACAACTGTACAAACAACAAGTACAACTGAACCAACAAATACCGTGCAAACAAGTACAACAAAACCGACAAGTATACTTGAAATCACCACAACAGAACAATTAAGTACAATTGAATCTACAACACCAGCCCAAACAACAAGCACAGCTGAATCTTCAAGTACAACTGAATTCAAAACTGTACAATCAACGAAGAGTTCTACCGACCTAAAAACAACGTTACAAATAATAAACACCGCCGAAAAATCTGACACTACCATTAAATCAACAATTTCTCAGGAGAGAACAACAGAACCTTCTTGTAAGATGAATATGTTTCATCCAAGTCATTAATTAAATCCTATCAGTTGCAATCAATTACATGTACTTACTATGCATCTTGATATTTGTAGGTGTTGATATGAGCATAAACAATATTAAAATAAGTTTCCATAACGTGTCTTGGAACACCACAATCGAAAAAGAGGGCCCCACAACTCGGACAGTACACAACCCCTACGTGAACCTGAAATGTAGCTTTGTCTCCTCATCTTCTGACAACTTGCTATTTTATAAAGTTGAATGGTATGTTAACGACCACACGTTTGTCAAATCCGACCTGGTTGGAGGATCGTCCGTCAGGCATGCATTATTATCCTTAAAAGCTTTGAAATCTGGAATTCAGGTAATGTTTGATTTTTTAAAGGGGGGGGGGGGGGGGTCAATAATGATCCAGAATTATCTTTTCAAGTGTAGTGTAATTTGTATATATGTATTTAAAAGATGGGAAACTGTCAGTCTTTATTTACAATATTTTTGCTTGATTTTATGTTAGTTAACGTTAACAACTTAAAATTCTACAATCTAAACTCCATAAAAAATGTGGCATTTAATTAGACATTTAAATATATCGAAGATGTCAATTGTTATATCCAACTAAAGCTATTTTAAAATTGTTTGGTTGCCCTATCCATACCGACTAAAACATTATCTTTTGAACCTACAATAAGTAATGATGTACTTTATAAAAAAAATCTCACCTACACATGAGCCTACAAATTCAAAATATTGAGGCCGAATCGGGAGAGGGCATTTCTCTAAAGTTGGCTTTAATATTATACCTCTACTGATTTTCCCTATATAAAAATAAGGCAGTAAAATGTGAATAATTCCCTAGAAATCTCATTGAATGGACTAATTCCCCGTGCGTTAGTTAAATGTACTGCCTCTTTTATCATTTTAGATAACATGTAAAGTCGGCGCAACGAAGAATCAGCTAATATCTCCCTGCAAAATGTTTAAAAGTGAGCCATTTTCAGCGGGAATAAGGGTGATTTTTATTCTAATTCTCATTAGGAAAAAAAGATTTAATGTATTGAGCATAATAGATAAATAAAGATATCTTTATTAACTGAGTTGGAAAAAAGTTTTAAAGTTTTGATAAAAACGACAAATGTACCAATATCGCAAATCATTTGTAAAATTTAAGCAAGTAACGAAGCCGTAAAAGAAGGATTTTCTACAACAATTTTGTACAGAAGTTGGTTCTTAACTTATTTTACATTTTCAGACAAAAGAGTCTACACTTAACCTTCCTAGGAAAGGAAGAGGTCAAATACGTATTCATTTGACAGTTCCTTTTGTTACACCGACAATCATTTTAAATGAAACCGTGCAAGCACTACGTCCTCTGGAGATTTACATTAACACTTTCCCTATGTCAGAGAATGCTTGTAAAGGCTATATAGGTGTAGATAAGTGTAAGGTAGAAATCACTGCGTTCCCCTTTGCTGAAAAGAGCAAGTATGAATCGGATGAATGGAAGAGTGACCATAACATCACAGTGTATCATATTGACACAGATGGATATAGCATCAACACAAAGGCTTCTCTTTTCCTAAAGACAAGTGAAAGTGAAGATGGATTTTTTCACAACATTTCTTTTGGGAATACTTTGGTAAAAACTTAAATCAATTTTCTGTTAAAAATCAAATAAATAAAATGAGTGTGATTTATACTTTAACAAAATATGTCATGTGTTTCTTATCAGATAACAGTATTTGAGGCAACTGAAACCTGGAAAGGAAAATCCTGTGGGTCCAAAACCGATCCTCATTTGCACACATTTGATGGAGTGTAGGATTTTTTTTCCTTATCAATTTTTAAAACTTGCTTACTTTCACATACATAAGAATGTAAACTTCCGCTAATGTTATGGGACTTTTTTCAACAATCTTTTTAAATTTGCGTTTCAGATCATTTGAAAGCCATATTACTGGGGATTTCGTGTTATATCGTAATTGGAAATTCGATCAGGAAGTAAGTGTCATAGGCTACATATGCCACCCTCTGCCTAAAAATAAACTTTCTATTTAAACGATTAACATTATCAACGAGGGAACAGAAATTGTCACATGTTGGCATAATTAAGTCAAAATTAAAGCATCTTTTCATGGTTCTAATATATTTTCCATTCTACCAGGTTCAAACTCGACACGAGAAATGCCACGACAGTTACCCTTTCCCTCAGTGCACATGTGCTGTTTCCGTGAAGTCTGGAAGGGACCTCTTTATGATTGACGTTTGTGAAAATAACAATTTTGTGGATTTCCTGAGATGTCAGGACAATGTCATTAAAGTGTACAAAGAGGAAGATAAACTTTTCAAGGTCTACTTTTTACAAAATATATTGTATAACACACAGCTGATTTTAGATAAATCCTGGTATCAGACCGAAAGATCGGAATTTAGTCATGGTCCGAAAGCATCTTCAAAATAATTTTGAAAAAAAATATTAGGAAATTGGTAATATTTATATCAAACCATTTCATATTCCCTGCTTACATGAAAGTGTTTTCGATAATGATTCCGTGTTCGATACACTGAGAGGTCACGATTACATTACCTCACTGTGGCCTATGAGTGCCAAATAAAGGTTAAAATTTGAAGCCCGTTAAAGGTTTAATTGACGTTTCTATGGAAGATAAATTCTCGAATGGGGCGGAAAAGAACGTACAATCAATTAATTTATCTTTCATTTCAAAACCAAAACAATTGTGTAGTTTCCAAAATAGAAATCTGGAAGCAATGCCACATCTTCTGGTTACAAATTGAAATTACCACAATGTTGATTTAATGAATACCTATACAGATTTTTTCTTTATAAAAGTACAAAATAAAATTTGAATAATTTCATAGAAATCACTGTGAATGGACTTATCCTCGTGTGTAAGTCAAATAAGCTAATCCCTGCTTCGCAAGCCAATTTCCTATATGGTTATCCGTAATCATCTGTATTTTAATTTTGTATCGGTATAATTTGTTATTAAACTAATCCCCGTGCAAAAGTCAAGTGAGCTATTCCCCGTGATTCGTGATCCTTCATTTTGCTTTTATATCGGTATAGTAAAACAGTTAAAAAGTGGATAATTAAGGAAGCTAGGAAGATTCCAGTTCTCAAAGTCCAGGACTATATCCCGAGGCGCACTGGAATCTTCCTAACACCTTCAATAATATATTGTATGAAACTGTATACTGATGCTTACAGATTTTACGATTTTTTTTCGATTGTTTCACTTCATACAAAAATATAGGTATCTCAGAATCAATTGTTCAAAACCTATTCAACGCATAATATTCCGAATAAATCTTAGTTCTTCATTGAAAATAGCCTTCGGATGTAGAAATGCGAGGTATAAAAAGATCACAGGGACTTTACCGAGGCTCTTATATTAGGAGTTCGTTTTTATTTAAAATGAAAAAACAGTTGTTTCTTTAATATCTCAAAGATTTCATAAATTTACAGATATTGCTTCCAATGGGAACAATTGTTATAGCTTCCTTAGTTGAATGGCCTGTTGAAGGATCCTGGCAGATAGACATCGATATCTACCCATCTTTGTCTGACGTAAACAATACTGTTGGTCTATGTGGAACCTTAGATGGAAACGGAGGAAATGATTTTACACATCGGAACGGACACAAAGATAGCTCCTCATTGGAATATCCTGATGATTTTTCGAGATCTTGGATGTAATGCGTTTTAGAAACCTCTTTGTTATATTTTGTAATTCCTAAACAAGCCAAAAATATGTGTAATTTGGATTCAGTATTAGTTAAGATAACCATATATTAAATAGCGAGTTACCAAAATGTTGAATGGCGTAATTAATATTTAAGGACCATTCTTTTTAAAAGTATTCCTTTAAGCTGAAGTTACATATACTTTAAAGATTATCGGCCATATTCGATTTATCACTTATTACAGTGGGTTCATATATAATCCGCTCACTTAGTCACTGTTCCATATAGCGTATGCCAATTTATGATTTTTGTTCAGTGAAAAAAAAACATATTTCATAGATAATATATCTGCGGTTCTATTCCTTACTGAATTTTATTACAGGGTACAGAGCAATGAAAACTTGTTAAACGGAGCTCCGTCAGATCTTCCATCAGTACCCTTCTCTCTCGATAGAATTTGTACTTGTTCTGCAAATGGAGATCAGTGCTTCTATAATGCATTCTCGGAATGTTCAAAAACCACCGGAAAACAGTACTACTGTGGACAAACAAACCTGCTACAAGCTTCACGTAAAAGGAGGGGGGTTCATCTGAGTAAAAATTCGGTTTGGGTGAGTGAAAGTCTGATAGTAATCACTCTGTTTGTCCGTCTGTCTTCCGTCCACAAGTTTTCTGTTTTTTTTTTCTAATAACTTTTTTTTATGGTTGCCCAATCAAGTTCAAAATTTGGTATGGTATTTCAGTAGGCAGAAATACATATTTTGATGCTAAGTTTGGTTCTCTATGTCTTCTGGTTTGGAGCTGGGGTGGTGGGGTAGATTCCTTAACTATGCATATAAGAACGAATGGGCGAAGAGAGATAACCGCTGAGAATGTTACCATTGTAAACTGGGAAGGCTGTGCAATTTGTCATTTGGGATTAATTAACCTTCCACATGGAGAAAATCCTAAGCATTATCTTTATCTGTCACACTGAGATCAATAACTCTACCGCCTCTGTCTGCAAATGAACTCGTTTTTTAAGTTAAGGTCAATTTTGAATGATGTGTACATTCTCTGAAATATGGACTTAAAATAATGTTCATACTTTATTTTGGGTAAAATACTGTACACAATGATTTATGATAATTTTATTGAATTCTAAAATCAAGATATATATTAAGATATAATTTTTCATTATTACTATTTTATTTTTTTAATTATTTATTCATTCATTTTTTTGGGGGGGGGGCTGTCTTAATGCTGTTAATTTTAACAGGTAATCAGATAATAACCCCATCCTGTCAGTGATAAAAAAGTTCTTATTGTAAATTAAGAAGAAAAGGATGAGAGAGCAGTATAATTAATCCCTTGGGATTAATTCTCTAGCCTACTGCAGAAAATTTAGAGGCCTATCTTTATTTGTCACATGAAGATTAATGAACAACTTTGTCTGCAACTGATGTTTGTTTTGAAGTTGAGGTCAAACCTGGGTGATATTTGCATTCACTGAAAGCTTGAATTTTATAAAACGCCAGCTGAAATCTTTTTTAAATACACATTTAATTTAGTTTTTTTACAAGACGTGAGGTTTTCCATGTTTTATGTAAATACAAGGTTACACTATTTACAGGTTTTTTTGGACATTCAGGAATTATCTTGAAAATTGAAAAGTACAGTTGTTACTTATTCTCTTCATATACATTTTTAAACAAAAAAATCAAGTAAAACTTTCATTCAGTGCGCTGCATCCTTATATTTCTACCCTTCAGCGGGGCCCTTGATGACTACGGAAAGTATTTTGAGCTGTACAATGAGGAGTAAATATTTATAATAACCACAGTGTTTTCAATTGACAGAGTCGACAAAAGCGGCAAGAATCAATTTACGTCACATCGGAGGCAAGAGCAGGGAATGTCTGCAAAACTGCGTTCAACAGATCAGAATCATTCGAAAAATGTGAAGAATACGTCAGTGATATGACCAATGTATCGTTATCAAACTGTATAATGGATGTCAGAGTAAATACTATTAAATGTTTGTTTTTCTCAGCGATGTTTATAATTATTGTACTTCTCTCATCTAACTTGAGAGTAATTGGAATGTGACAATTTTATTTTGTAGTTGACAGGGGATGAAAATATACCATCTATTCATATCGAAGATGCCCTCAAGCAGTGTGTCAGGTTAATAGTCTTTAATACAACACTGAAAACACAACAGCCGGATATCACCAACCAAATTCAGTCCCTGTGCTCGAACAACTGTAGTGGTCATGGCATTTGCAAAGAGGGTAAGATTACATAAGTTATAAAATTATAATTTCTTCGGAAATTTACCTTTTAGATCTATTTACATTTCCTGAAGAAAAAATAATATGGCTTTTTAGGTAAACTGAGTAAACTCAGGCCACCTATTGCTATCCTTTCTCGTCCGTCGTCGTTTTTCGTGCATGAACATTTGAACACTTTAAGCTTTCTTCTCTGAAACAGCTTAACAAATTTCAACCAATTTTGGCATTAAGCATCTATGGGTGAAGGAGACCACAATTGGAAATTTTATAGCCTTAGGGTCAGGGGTGGAAAATCTTCTTCTTTGCTCCTGGGTATTGAATAAACTAACCTAACCAAGAAAATAGGTAAATTGAATAAGGTTATTGTACCTCTTCCTAAATTGTGAATTTCAAGGTCAGGGATTCTGGTGTTAGGGTTCTTTTAGGGGGCTCTTTTGATTATATAGTGAAGAGGCATAAATTCTATCAACTTCTTCTCTTCTGCTCCTGGGTATAAACCAATGAACTATGTAAATGGTTATGATGAGGAAGGATGCCTCTTTCAAATTTATGAATTCCAGGGTCCCTGGGTCATGGCTGCTTGTGTTAGGGTGGGGCTTTAATGTTTAAATAGTGAAAATGGATGAATTCTTTGAAATCTTTTACTTTGCTCCAGGGTATTATGCCAATATTCTAAGTTCATATTTATGATGAAAAAAAGCGCCTACTCTTAAATGGTTAATTTTCAGACCCCTTGGTCTGGGGTACTTGGAGAGGGTGGGGGTGGGGGTACATAGTCTGAAAATAAACTAATGCCTTGAAATCTGCACTTTGGTAATTAGTGTTTATTTCAGTGGTTCCTGTGGACTGGAATGTACAAATTGTTACAGAGTAGAAATGCTTTTTCTCTTTGATACTCTGATCTATCTCTGTGTATTAAGTACCCAAAGTAAGAATGCTAAGTGTATAGTTATGATACTTGGAGAACACGAAGACAGATCATATGCCTCTGTTAAAATTTTGAATTTCATGGCTTCTGCAGCTGATTAAAAACACGAGTTAAATTCAATTGTTGGAAAGTTGTTATATGATATATACTCAGGTGACCTGTACAGTGTAAGGCCCGTGGGTCTGTTGTTTTTCCATTCCAAGCTGGTGAATAATTGTCTCTGTCAGTTTTATTTATTGTTTTCTCTAATATTCAACTTGAATAGAATTTAAATAAATTTAGAATACCCTGATATTTAAATTGAGGATACTTATTATTCCCCAATGACAAACTTTCATGTGAGTAAAATCTGTCTTCGTGTTCTCCAAGAAAACTAAAACTGAACAAAACACTACTTAATAATACAAGTGCCATTTGGTAACGGTTATGCCATTTAGTTTTTTAAAGACCGCTGGTGACCAACCAGCACATGATATACTAATTTTACTCGACAGGACACTGCTTGTGCGATTCTGATTTCGGGGGAAGTGACTGTTCTTTTGATGTTCGAGCACCACCCACGATCCTGAGGACGTCGCCAAACGAAACCTGTGATATGTCTTCAAGCAACTGTTCCGAAGTTCTACTAGAGGGCAGATATTTCTTGGAAAACATAAACATAACTTGTTTCATAACCAGGCAATTGGTATTTAAATAAAAAAAAATTAATTACCATGAGATTGTATAGGCATGAAGTCAATGGGTGAAAGGTAGAAAAAAATATTTTATCTGGCGGCCGCCACATTAATTTCTGGCTGCCACCAAATAATTTTCTAGTAGCCGCTAGATAAAAAAAAACCTGGCGGCCGCCAGTCAACCGCAAGGAGGTAAGCTGGCGGCCGTCACATTAATATCTGACAAAAATTATATGGCAGCCGCAAGAAAATTTTTTAGAATTGTTTTTGGCGGTCGCCAGTTAAAATTATTTGGCCGCCGCCATATAAAATATTTTTCTACCTCAGTGGCAAATTATTTGGCGGCCGCCAGATAAAGTATTTTTCTACCTCAGTGGCCTCCGAAATGCTTCAAGAAAGTTACTTTTTAAGTTCATTATATAAGTAACAACATTAATAAGAAGGACACTTGTTTACTCAAAATGATGTGTGATCACATTTTACTGCTCAATATTCAATGTCAAAGTCATTCAAGAAAGTTTTTGGTATCTTATTTTTTTCTGGCCTGTACTATGTGTGTCTCCTTAAAATATTCTTTTATTTCAAACATAACAGACTTAATCCATGATAGACGGTATCCTAGTGGTGTCGAAAAAGCTTTTTTCAATCTCAAACCATGGGACCTAAAATGGGTTCAATTTTTTTTATGTTAACTTTACAATTTGACGCAGGCGGCCAAAATAGGGAAATAAATGTTTTTTTTACATGTTTGTTCCAAGTATCTTCTTTGTCTACAGGATGATTTAAAGCAATATGAGCTGCAAGTTTGACATGGGAAAATTTTCTTGCAGATTTGTAATCAATTATTTCAATGACAGAAAAATATAAATTTAATAAAGTTTTCAGTGTTGTTCATATTTGCAATGGAGAATTTTTTTTAACTTTAATTTACATGTAAGTAAAATGACATTATTGTCGTCCTGTATATTATTTATAAGCTATATGTTTGATTGTACAGAAGTTTTTTTTCTGAAACAATTTAAATCTTATTTTAGTTTTATTAATCATGAGGGTTTCAATTGCATAGAATTAATTTATATAACACATTTTAACAGCAAAAATATTTTCCCAGAAATTCAGTTCATATTGCTTTAAAGTGCGTTTTGCTTTTCGTTAAAGGTGAACCATGACAACAATGCTGTGGATATCACGGACAGTGAGCAACCGTTGGATGACAGAACTTTATTTCATGGGGCGTGTCCTTTGCCCAAAGACAGTATCTCCACATGGATTACCAAATTTACACTTAAGATCTCTTATGATGGAAAATCATTTAGCCGTGCCTTTCCAATATACATATATAAGTCGGAATGCCAGCAGAAATCTTACGTAGATGGTTTTGGACAGTTCACTCTTAAGGTACTTATATATTTTAACTGAATTTAAATTTACAGAAGCATAAATTGTCAACTAAAATTATATACACGCAAATATGGCCATTCCTTTCGTATATAACAATTTAAATTCATTTTAATATGAATTGTTAAAAATAAATTTCATTCACTACTAGGCAGGATACTGCTACATAGACAGCAAATGCGTACAAAAAGATGTTTCAAAACTGGGACACAGCTGTGAGGTTTGCAATCCGTCAAGTCAAAAGTATGATTGGTCATTGCATCAAGGTATATACCTTAAAAAAGGTCCATGGGCCATAATGCTCAACTGAGTAAATTTTATCATTCCGTTCTTCACCAGATTTTCTCCTTTGCAATAGAACATTTTTATTCTTTTTACCTTTTGAACTTTATTTCCTTCCTGTAAAAGACTGTGTTTCAACCACGTCACCACCACAAACAACGAAGTCTCCAATATCAACACCAGCCTTCATTATTACAGTGTCTATAGTTTCTGCGGTTTTTGTTGGAACTCTGGTTGTTATTATCCTAGCGTGGCGATGTAGATCGTAAGTATTCAACAGTAATCAAGTATGTTTAGACTTTCCTAATTTAAAAAAATACATTGCAAACTTGGTCTTGAATTTCAATCAACAGCAGATGTATTTATAGGGTTCTACAGTATAGGCTGTATACATGAGATTCTGAGACCTTGAATATTTTGATAAATTTTACAACTTAACATTTCTATTTTAAGCCTCTTACAATCCTTTTTTTATAAAGCCTTGATATTCTTTGAGTATATCAATTGACTTGCATTTTGGTGGCAACTTCCTGAGAACCGAAGACGCATCAACTGACAAAATTTGATGATACCAACACCGTTCATCCAAAATCAATAAAGTTAATTATCTGTCTTATGGTAGTCTGCTTGTGTGCCAAGTCATATTTAAAAGAGATTAAATCTGTATACGTAGGTAAAGTTAAAAATATTTTAAAGAAGTTTCTTTTTTTATCTGGAACCATAGCAAAATCGTCAACGATAAAGAGCATTATGTATCTTCGTTTACTCTGCTTTTGTATTTGTCAAATTATATTGAAAACATGCCAAAACTGAGGGAATAGTAGCATTTTGAAAATTTTTCGACAGACAGACGGACGACGAAGCCTTTCCGGTCTTCGACCAGTAGTGATAATAATTTATGAAAAGAAAAACGAATGAAAAAGGAATTTATTGATGCTTGTATATCCCATGTTTTGCTATCTTTTCAAAAAAGAATTAATCGAAGTTTAAGAGGGATTAGGCGGATGATGATTAGAGTTGCATGCATCGATCAGTCGAAAACTATATAAAATTATTTAAACCAGTTTACATAATAGGCTACATAATCGACAACGTTTGAAAAATTAAAAAAAAAATGTGTTGATTACAAACTAATAGAAGGGGAATTCAGTTTCAAGAACTAGACTAGATGTGGTCATTCCTAATTGCCTTTTTGAGCTAAGTAACCTCTGGAAATTGATATACTGTTTAAATTTTTTTTCGATAATTTTAGGTCCTCTAAAAGACACTACAAGGACGACGATTCAACGAAGGACATAAATGTTGCAAAATGGAGGAAATACTTCGACGAGGGAGATAAATTGCATAATTTTTACATCCCTAGAGGTCGAAGAAACAATGAACAGGAATACTACACAAACAGTGAAAATACCTATCGATACTGATAGTACTAAAGGATGACAATTTTTTTTCCTTTTATATTGGACTTTGTAAATATTAAAAATCATGTGAATTAATGTCAAAGCCATTAAAAAACGTTGGGTATAAAAATCCTTTTCGTTTCACGGTGAGAGATATAATCCATTTAAAGAATTTCTTCAAAAAAACAACAAACAAATAAAAAAAAAACAAAACTCTCAAAAATTGCTATACTTGTGTTTTGGCATAATAAAAAATCCTCAGAAAAGAATTTCGATTTCAAACCCAACCTTTTTTATTGTTGAAAATGTCTGCTTCAAAGTATTTACATTGTGATTTTGTATGATTTCACTGACAGGGGGCGCTGCGTGTACCTTAATTTGGTAGGTCTAAAGCGCACTAGTTTGCTTCGTTTTTCAGACCTGTTTACCCATATTGTTGTTTCTCAGTATTTTTGCTTAAATTTGTCCGTGAGATCTGGCATTTGCCAGTTCACTTTCCATTAATTTTACATACAATTTATATAAATGGAGATCAACTGCTTTTCTGATTACAAAAACATGGTTAAATAACATGATCTTGATCATTTTATACCACGGCGTTTTGGCAAACCGACATAACTGAAGCTGAATTTTTTCAATGATTAAAAAAGCATGAAACTGAGACAGATCATAACGATTTACATTACATGATAGCAAAACGTGAGACGTACTTTGGACTAATAATACGTAAAAAACACGACGAAATCGTGAGAGTACATGTAAACAGGTCTGTTTTTTAAATATCCGCAGTGACTCGGGTGCTTTTTTTCTATCTGTATTATTCTGTGCTCGTTAATTAAGAATTTAGCTATTTAAGTTTTTCATTGAACCGCCGAGAAATTTTCAACCAATATTAGATTATAGCAATCTTGGACATTACAGAACGAAAATTGTACATTGAATGTTATCTCCACCATGTGACCTTAAGAAGGGGCCAAAACCTTCAAACTTAAAGGCAGAGATTTTTTACCGGGTGGTAAATTCCAGGTGAGGGAGGGGCTTATTTTATACAGGTGTGAATGCCTTGGGGGCTAGCAGTCTACCTGTGGTCATCTGTCTCCTAATCCCTATACACAGGAAGTGATTTAATACACAGTGAAATACCCCAGGTGTCAAACTTTACCTGTGTTGAGGATTTTGAGACAATTTGAAAATTAGTAGTAAAAGGGTTTTTCAATCATATATTGATTTATTTTGACTGTTTGAAAACACCCCTACACATTTGAAAAAAAAATTATTATGATATCATACTCTAAATCAAATATTAAAACAAAGATAGTTTTAGATGTTAGTGGATCTGTAAATTAAAAAAAAAAAACTCCTGTAACAACCAAATTAGACTTAATTTTCATTCATCCCCATGATCCCATCTTTTAAAAGAAAAAAGAGCCGTGTTAACTACATTTTACTAAAAAAAATCCAGATTTATCATAACCTTAATAAAGCTTTGTCACCATGATACGTTTTAAAAAGATTGCTTGTAAATTCTTATTTGATTAAAAAAGGAAATCATACTAAGTGACCCATGATTAGAAACATTATTTTTAAATTTAATTACTAGTACTTCACACAGCGCTTCTCTGAACTTAATTAATAACATTTTCACTTTAGGTTTACCATTTAGCATATAAAAATAAAAAATCGAAATTTTATTTGAAAAAAAAGTTTTATGTACCACAGGTAATTTTGTTAATGCATATTATTATAATCCTTTCAAATACTGAAGGTATATTTAATTCATATGTAATCTAAAAATTTCATAGTTATACAGTTTCTGTATACTATGTTCAGTAAACATCAAAGGATCAAATGTTAATTAGAAGGTCACCATGAGTCCCAAACAAGGTGTTCAGGGTATACACAGAGACCAGTAAGTAAGTGTCAATCAAGTTCCAGCATCCAATGATGGACCTTCATGCACTTGATTGACAGGGCTACCCAGACCAGGTATTTTTGAAGGCGGTGCTTAAAATCTCTGCCTTTAAAGCTATTTTCAATTATCTTCTTTATTCCTGTACATCAAAAAATCTTTAGCACGAATGTAATAAAGGTTAAGTGTACTACCGACATTATGTAGAGAGAAGCTCCATCTGTATAATGCATGAATCTTTATTAATCAAATACTGATAATGCACCCAAACTGTCCCCCATTTATGTATATATGTATGGTTTTAATTAGCATTTTCTTTTCTTCTAAAAGTATATCACTGTTATTAATGCATAGAAATTATTTCTCTCTACCCCATAGTATTTGGCAGATACAACAAGTACATGGTTATGTTGAGCATGATGTCTGTCAAAATTGTAAAATTCCCGGTATTTGGGTCAAGAGTTCTGGCAGGATCTTATTGATTTTATTACGAATTTCATGGTTGTATTATACACATGTACTAAGTTTGGCGTTAAGGCCCTTGAGCTTTTTGTGTTTCTTCTACTTATTTTATGAGATTGATTACTGTTCACAATTTTGTTAAAAGTGCAGTTCACGGAAATTTAGAGTGCTGTGTTGTTTTTGATTCACAAGGATAAGATATGAACATTTTCATTTATTAAAAGACAGAAAAATGGATATGTCCTTTAATGTGCACTCAAATGTCACAATCAATTTTAGTTGCATCGAAGAATTTATATTCAAATTTAAAAGTACCGGCGGTAAGTCTGAGTCTACGCCTTTTTGTCCCAGATCGAAGGGGAATAAAAGCATCCAATGTACATGTACAAACTCTGCTTATGTTTGAAAATAAACATCTTAATCAGGCTAGGGATTGATGTGTTTATGTGCGATGTATGTCAACTTATGCCTCAAGATTACCTGCAGACAAGGGACTTCGGTTTTTAGCTCACCTGAGCCAAAGGCTCAAGTGAGCTTTTCTGATCAAAATTTGTCCATTGTCTGTCGTTGTCGTAAATTTTTCACATTTTCATCTTCTTCTCAAGAACCACTGGGCCAATTTCAACCAAACTTCCTACAAAGTATCCTTGGGTAAAGGGGATTCAAGTTTGTTCAAATGAAGGGCCACGCCCTTTTCCAAGGGGAGATAATTATGAATTAGAGAAAAATTAATGGCATTTTTAAAAAGTATTCTTCTCAAGAACCACTGGACCAGGAAAGATAAAACTCAGGTGGAATTATCCCCAGGTAGTGTAAATTCAAATTTTTTCAAATCATGACCCCTGGGGGTAGGGTGTGGCCAAAATGGCCGATCAAAGTTTTACATAGAATATATATAGGAAAAATCTTTTAAAATCTTCTTCTCAAGAACCACTGGGCCAGGAAAGATAAAACTCATGTGGAATCATCCTCAGGTAGTGAAGATTCAAATTCGTTCAAATCATGACCTCCTGGGGTAGGGTGGGGCAAAATGGCCGAGAAAAGGTTTACATAGGAGTATATAGGGAGACCTTCTAAGTCCTTCAAAGCCATGCTTAGTAATATTTATAGGGAATCATCCTCAGGTAGTGTAGATTCCAATTTGTTCAAATCATGACCAACTAGGGGTTTAAAATTCACCCCCCCCCTTCAGTAAACTTGCAGTTCTGATCTGATATATGCTTTTTCCTAGCCAATTGCTCAGGTGAGCGATGTGGCCCCTTGGCTTCTTGTTATACCTGTAGACACGGGACTTCGGTTTTTAGATTACATGTACCTGTAGGCACGGGACTTCGGGTTTTAGCTGTCTTCCGAAAGATTTCAAATTCTTTATTTGAAATAGATATACTTGTAAAGGATATAATGTATCAAATAATAGTGAAAGAGTGAGAACCACAATATTCTTTAAAGCCTCAGAAGGCTCAATTCAGGTTTTCTGATAAAATTTGTCCAATCTATGACGTCATCGTAAACATTTCACACTTGCATCCTCTTCTCATGAACCATTTGGCGAATTTCAACCAAACTTGCCACAAAGAATCCTTGGGTAGTGGCGTTTCAGATTTGTTCAAATGAAGGGTAACATCCTTTTCCAAGGGGCGATTATTATGAATAAGTGAAAATTTAATGGCTTCTTTGAGAAACCTTCTTTTCAAGATCTCAGGGCCAGGAAAGATGAAACTCAAGTGGAAACATCCTCAGGTACTGTAGTTTCAAGTTTGTTCAAATCATGACCCCAAGGGATCGGTTGGGCCACAATTGGGGATAAAAGTTTAATATAGGAATATACAGAAAAAAAAACTTTTAAAAGTCTTAAGAACAACTGGGCCATGAAAGATCGCACTCAAGTTGAACCATCTTCTGGTAGTGTAGGTTCAAGTTTCTTTAAATCAAGACCCTCGAAGGTAGAATGGAGCCACAATGGGTGATGAAAATTTAACATTTCAATACATAGAAAAAATTTTTAAAATCTTCTCAAGAACAGTGAAGCTACGAATGGTCATAGTTATGGAAGCATCCTCTGGTAATGTTGATTCAAATTTGTTCATGAGGGTAGGATAGGGCCACAATAGGGTATCAAAGTTTAACATAAGAATACATAGGAAAAAATCTTTCAAAATCATTTCAAAAGAACAGCAAAGTTATACTTATTTGCAAGTATCATCAGGTAAGGTAGATTCAAGTTGTTTAAATCATGAACCCCAGGGGCAAGGTTGGGGCCATAATCATAGTTTGAAGAAGGATAACAGAAAAATCTTCACAGGAACAACAAAGAAATGATTGAGCATCAAAATATAAAAACATCAAAATCAGTACAGATTTAAAATTGTTCAAATCTCCGAATCCAGTTTTATAGTTAAACATGGAACTCGTTTTTGCTTTTACATACAGTGTAGTATGTTTTGAACATATTATAGTGTAGTTTGTCGCTCCTGTGAGCGATGTGGCGCCTAACTTCTATTTAGATATTCGACCCAAATAGGACTAAATTTTCTAACCTTTAAATATTTACTGTTTATATAATATCCTGATATTATTTAAATGCATTTTAGAAAAGCAATCAAATTACCAAAAGAATTATTACCATAGCAGAAATTAATCATTGATGATAGCATTGGAGATTATATGGAAGTAATTAAGTTTTGAAAATATGTATGATATGGAATAAAAAAAACTATAAATATTAACTGCTACGGTGGAAAGGTGTATTTGTTCATTAGGAATAGATACACAATTGAAAAAAAAAAATTTTAACGTGATCGAATTTTTTTTTGTTGAATATTTTGTTTATTTAAATTAATCAAAGGGGGATATTTGATGGTCAGGAAAAGCTCATAAATCAGGACATATCCCACTCTTACATATTGAAACTGAAACAGGCACGTAGTATCCGGGGGGCCAGGGGGGCCTGCCCCCCTCCCCCCCACTTTTTTCCCTAAAATTACCATTACTATAGAAAATGCCTATTGAAAAGATGGTTGACCCCCCACTTTATACCACAGTATATACATAGCAAGAAAATATAGGGAAAAATTGAAAGTGAAAGGAACTTTGCCTTGAAAAAAGTTGGCCACTACCCCCCCCCCCCCCCCCCCCCGCCCCCCACGAAATAGGATTTTCGAGTTTGGGTAACTTTTCAATTTTCGTTTTTTTTTTTTTTTTTTTTTTTTTTTGCTTGTCAACTTTTTTTTAGGTAAGTAAAGAAAATTTTCTCAGGTTGGCCCCCCCACTTTCAAAAACGATGCTACGTGCCTGTGAAAGATGGAAATTTTTTTCTAAATGTACTGAGTACCGGGTATTCATCACATTCACATATGTTTTGTACTCAATTCCACTGAATCTGAACACAAGACGAAAGACCACCTTTAAGTAATCGCTTAATGGTAGCTTAATGGTGACTTAATGGTGGCTTAAAGAAGTTAATTCCTTTAAGCCACCATTAAGCCACCATTAAGCTGCAACTTACAGGTGCTTAATGTCCAAACTTCATTAAGCTACCATTAAGCCACCATTAAGCTGAGCTTAATGGTGACTTAATGGTCAACCCTCATTAAACTTTTACGCATCTTATATAGAATCTTTGAACTAACTTTTAGTTATTTTAATATCATTTACGCAAAATCTATTCCAACTCATAATTCTGTCTAGATCATAATTTCTACGAGTTTTTTGTCAACATGCATAAACTTGATCACTGGGAACAAAGTTAGCTAATAGCCAAAGGGGCCTGCTCGAGGTCTGTATTTTTTTCTTAAAATCATTTAAAGTGATAATATTACAAGACATCCTGTATCAGAACCGTATATTATTTTTTTTTAAATAAATTATTATTACATGCGTTGTTTTTATTTTTAGTGTATATGATTTTAAAAAATAAATAATTATTACACACCGTGAGCAAGTCCTTGTGAAATATCTTAAATTTACAATACCAAAAATCAATTTGTTCTTAAAATTATCTATATTCATGAACACAAAATATATATTACTTTTTAAAAACAAAATGGTATTTTTATTTCATGTGTTAAAAGAAACATTCCGCTAAAGAATTCACAGGAATATAACTATATAATCTCATGAAAAAAATCTCTGTCCTTTTTTTTGGGGGGGGGGGGGCTACTGGTATACAAATGTTTAGTTTTCAAAGATTGACTTTTACCATGAAAAAACTTTTTAATGGCTTTTACATCATGAATAATTCTAATTAATTCGTTATTTTTTTAATAATGCAGCGGTAAGTATCTGTCAAAATC